TGATATTTCAACATTTTAACTTAAGATCCGCTAGACGTCTGTTTTACTGAGTTAATTGTTCTTCTTCTGTTTTGGCTTTTCCGTCAACATCTGTTGATTTACTGTACTTTGGTGGCACATTACATCTATAACGCAGTTAAGGTCATCATTATGAATGTCATTTTTTTTTTATTTTCCATTTTATTAACACACACACACGTACAACAGTGTTCCAAACTCTCTTTGTCCATCTGCTTAAGTCCATTATTGTTGAACACGTTGCATTCAAAGGCTGTTGTTTAACTGGTCATTCTCATGAGCAATATTTTTAAAACAATTTTATTGAAGCATCTTATTTAAATGTTCAAAATATAAATTCCAAATTTCAATTATTATGGTACATAACGCTTTGTGCTGGAGAAGTGTGATCCAGTGATCGGTAGTTTGTGTAGCATTACATCACAATAAGACTGATAATATATATATATATTTTACAAAGCTTTCTTTACTGGCTCTATTTTACAGGTTTTCAGTAAAACGAACCATTAAAACTTCTCCAACGCACGCCACTGTCGACGAGGACTTTCGCTCAATACCAGAGCTCATCATGATGGCTCATATGCCGTTGGTAAAACAATAAATGACTTAGGACGTATAATATATAAGTATTCTCACGTTTGCTAGCATATTTATTTGTCTATCCATCTATCAATACGCGTCCTTGGTCGTCAAAAAAATACAACAATAAAAAAAACATTTCTGAAAATTCAGTACGTCCTTCATCCATCACTTGTGTGTTAAGTAAAGTATTTTTATTCATCCTTTCCGTTTCTCATCATACACTAGGTAGGATACAAAGGTAAATAATTGCTATAAAAGCGTATTCGAATCGTGCAATATCTTAATATTCTAAAATATGTTTATACCGTACTGGTCACCATGAACATGATATCAGGTTTTTGTGTGTTCAACTTTATGTTTTTAGTTTCGGCCATAATTAATCTCTGGCTTGAAGTCATTAATTCAAGTTTTTGTAGGTTCGCTAAGGACTTACCTCACTGCTTACAGACGAGATACTGATGTATCGTTGAACGCTATCAACGTGAAGATTACACTTGTACCTCCTTCCCTAATGGACAAAGTTGGGAGATTGGTCATAAAAAAACTGTTATGGCATGTCATCGTCAATGATAACGGTTTCAAAATAAACATAGCTGATCAAAACGATGCTGTAAGCCCTAATAGGGTGAATATTCATAACTTGGCTACACTTGCATTTCTACTAAAGTTCTATGTGTACAACTTCAATAAGTATGTTGCTAAATATGACACAGTCTTTCGTACGTGATGTCATACTTGTTTTCTGTTTAAGAAGCATATGGAGTTTCATGTTCAAAGTAAACTGTATTTCATGCTCCAATGACATACTGGGAATGGTTACGTGCAAACGTTTATCGCATATATTATTGGTTTTTAATGTTTAGTTATCAGCATTTGTTAACAATAGAAATTACATACAACTGTATACTTTGAAGAAAAATACGCTTAAAAGGTTCCAACTAGAAATAAATTCTGATCGTCGTTTTTCAATAGCACAAAATCATGAGATTACATATACATCATACAGGTATTACTATCTAACCTGCAAGTTGGTTCAGTGTTTGAGTTGTGGATTTCGGAGTTAGCGAGCCGGATTTTAAACCCCACACTTTAGGCTGTGGATAAGTCAATCCCTTAGCGTAGTCGATGGGTGGTAAGGTTTTTATGACTGGCTGCCTTACCTCTGGTCAATAATACAAATTTAATGACGGTGGCCGAGAGCCTCAGTAGTTTTACTATAGATATGAAATACAAATACTGATGTAATATGATGTAATATGTAATATATATGAGTTGATTTAGCAAATTTTAATACTTTAATCATTTCAGACTATTTATTTTATGACCGAAACAGAAAAAAAAAATCTAACCATATAAAATTTTATTGACATCGAATTTCTACTGTCTTCTTGAAACTAGTTTACATAGATCATCAGTTTATCAAGTTAAACCACAAACAATATTCCATTAGTGTTCGGTACTGAACACAGATCTGATAAAAGAATACAGTATAACTTTGAGATGACATATTTAATTAGTGTTCGGTACTGAACACAGATCTGATAAAAGAATACAGTATAACTTTGAGATGACATATTTAACTGACAAAGAATCTGGATTTTGTAAGCAGATACAATTATAGGATATGCGTTATAAAAGCTTCTCTGAAACGTTATTATACGTACATACATATAATTTAAGGACAACACTCAGACACTCTATCAGACTCTATCAGACACCTTATCATTCAAATACTTAATAAGCCACCGCTTAAACTTCCTTAAATTAACTGCATCTACCACATCTGAAGGCAATCCTTTCCAAAAACCAACCACCCTTTTGAAAAATAAAGCAAAATTTATATTTATGTCCCCTAGTCCTACCATTCTTACCAATAAGTACGAGAAAAGATGATGGAAAAAGGTTCTTCTTGAAATCCTTTATTTACATACAGTGATAGATAATAATAATGATGAAATCTACTAGGCACATGTGATATCTATTTGAAAGATCTCATTCACTTCTAAACAAAAGTACTGTCTTTTATATATATATATTATATGTGAGTGCTTCAATAGATAGTGCACACTGCCTTTCCTAACAGTGAATAAAACATAAACAATCCATATCTACAGAAGTAAACAGTTACTTATATGGGAATAGATTTCTATCTATTTAGATAGATATGTAAACAAAAACGTTATAAAAGAAAGATAGACAGAAAACAGGCTTTTCTTTATTAACTGTGTAGACCAATAAACTTCAAGATTCTTATACGTTTCACTTAGTATTATCCACGTTTTTTTTTCTGATTGTTAATAACATGTTTTTACTTCGGTTTTTACAACGCTAAAAATAAGATCCAGAGCGTGATTCTCCACTATAGACAGAGTGTAGATAGTCCACCGTATAGCTTTGCACTAAGCAAACAACAACAACTAAACTGTATATATATATATATATACATACAATTTTATTTTCTATAGAACCCTATGGAATCACAATACAAACCCAGCCCCCTTGTATAATTTATCCAAACCCACGCGGTGTGATAGCGATAAGTTGACGGACTTACAATTCTAAAATCCGGGATTTGATTCCCCGAGGTTGACATATTACAACATAAATATATGTAGTTCTAACTTAGAGCTGACGTGACGTGGTGGTTAGACGCTCAACTCACAATATGCCTTGTGTATTTATAAATATATCTATAAATTTATCTAGTTGTATTTAGAAAAATAATCTGTTTCGTCCATTTTGAAATGAATCTTCAACCAATCCATGTTTAAATATCATATTATTGTCATCAAGTAATATGCGCTTTTTAAACTTCAAAGCCCCAACTTCCTAGCTGGTTTTCATATGCTGCCTTATTTTGGAGGGATGAAAATAAATTTAGATCTAAAAAATATATGTTTCTTATTTTCTTCGTTGTCTTATTACAACTTATAGTAATGGAATAACGCTTTAAATAACAACCGTTGCTATGATACCATTAGTAGTTTTATATTTCATTGTAGAGGATCTCTTGAGTTCCTTAGGAACTCATTTACTTATTGCTGAAGTAAATTTTAAGGTTCTTTGGCTAATTCTTCTGGCAGAATCCCAAAGAGTTATTTGAGAATTCCTTAATAGGAATTGGCAAGTAAGCAACTAAATATATCAGTATGAAATCCGTTGTTGACGAATAGAAATTGTTAGAACATAAAACCTTGTTTATTGTATAAATGCTGATTTTTTTTAAACTAAGCATGAATGAAACACAACAGAATCCGTACCTAAACTCTAATAACCAAAGTATGTCCTGTTGTGTGATACATTATTGAAAATCCTTTGTGTAGGCTTATTGCGTTTGGTTTATACTCTATAGATTCATCTTGCACTTAGACGGTGATATTACTAACACAATATTGAATAAATCAAGTGATAAAATAGTAATCACCCAAACACGCTTTAAAATTACAACACTATTAGTGTGAAAAAGCTTTATAATCAGATCTCCAAGATAACTTAAACAGACGTCACAAAATGCGTACAAAGGGACGATTTTACTTAATCTAATAACCTTCATTTGTCTTTTACCCCTGTTATATTTACATCCAAATAACCTAAACAGACGTCACAAAATGCGTATAAAGGGACGATTTTGCTTAATCTAATAACCATTTTCCGCCCTTTTTACTTGTAGTATTTATCTACATCAATAAATGTAGTTCGCTTTTCAGCAAACAGAAAACATACATATGTGTTCTTACGTTTTTTACATGTGTAAATTATTGAATATATACATATTTCTGTAGCATATCTGACATAAAGCTTACTAATCATTTCTTATTTAACTAAAAAAAATGTTACATCATCAACACTGTTTTGTTTTGACGAGCAATGATCTGTCTTCATTGCAGCAAATAGAAACCGACTCACCAATACATGGTGTAAGAGCAGTAACAACGTAGTCAAATTATGGCGAGAAAAGTAAGACCAAACACTAGGAAAGAGAAACAAGCAAAAGCTACGAAGTCTAAATGGTGGTCAGTTTTGTGTTTCTTTCCCATCTTTTACTTTTAAAAGATTCGTCTTTTACTTTTTAAAAGTAATTTCTATGATAAAGTTTACCTTACAGTTTAATTACTGTTATCTCTATAGAATGTGATAATTTGCTTACCTATCTTCACCAGAAGTGTTTCCCCATAATTCTATAATAATAATAATGATATATAAATCGGTAATGAACATAGTTAATGTTGTCATTAAACATTAACCTTAAAGTAACTCAAATTAAAGACAAGTTAGAGCAACATTGCAGTTGTCCCATCGCGTCTTGTTGACGTGCGCAAAGATAAACAGAAAATCCACCTATGAATTCCATCATCGCGGGCGGACTACGTCCTGATGACGTCACAGCCACTCCCCATCTACAATATAAGAATCTGAGATTCATGTCCTGATTATTTCGCATCTGATTCCACGCTGCAGCTAGCATCGGATCCACCACACTTGAAGTAAAGCAGTTTGGTAAGTTACCATCTCCTACTTTGACTCCAGATATCTCAGATCTGAAATAGGGTAGGGGAATTTTAATTGCGAATACAAATGTAAGACGCTGGTTCTTTCTGGATACTTACAAAGTTTGTTTTACGTGGTTTATAAAACTTTGATAACTTTCGAAAATATTAAGCTTTGTAGGACTAAAAGCTTGAATTTTGATTTTGTGTTTTTTTTATTACACTGATTTCGAACGGTTTACTTTCTTACATGATTGTTATGTTAAATTTAAGTTGGCAACAAAACGACTTTACAAATACAAAAACTGCAAAAACCTAAATGTCAATAGATCAAAAACAATCTGCATATAAACAAAAAGTCACATATTCAGTTAGGCTAGATCATGATATTTAGTTAAACTCATTCATAACATGTTTAGTTCAATTTGTTCATGACATATTTAGTTAAGATGGTATATTACATATTTCGTTAAGCTGCTTCATGACATTCAGTTAAGCTGGGTCACAGAATGTTTAGTTAGGGTGGTTCCTGACATACCTAGTTAAGATTATTCATAAAATATTCATTTAACTGGCTCATGACTTCATCAGTTGAGTTGGTTCATGTTACGTTCATTTAAGCCTGCTCGTGCTATATTCAATTAATTGGTTTGTGTCAAATTTATTCAAGCCGATTAATGAACTATTCATTTAAATTGGCTCATGAGTTCACAACACATCCAGTTGGGTTGAATCATGACACGTTAAACTTGTTCATTCAAATATTCAGTTAGCTAGTTCATGACGTATTCATTTGGGCCACACCACAAAAGTATTAAGTTGAGCTGGTTCATGACATATGTATTAACCCAAGAATCATTCCGTTAAGCTGGTTCTTGAAGTATTTGATTAAACTCGCACGATAAATTCAGTTAAGATGATTCATAACTTATTTAATTAAGCTGGTTCATTACATATTTTGTTAAGTTGGTTCGTGAAATGTCTAATAAAATCATGAACTATTCAGTTACGGTGTTTCTTGAAATATTTAGTTAAGCTGATTCACGACAAGTTATTCAAGTAAGATGATTCATGATTTTTTTCAGTTAAGTTGGTTCATTAAAAGTTCAGTGGTTTAGAGAAATTTGTGAGTTTTTATAAGTCTTCACAGAATACGAAGTAACAAAATGATATATTTGTATTAGATAAATGAAAAAAAACTAATAATCACAAATAGAGTTTTGTTAGACTACAGCGTAATTTCTCACATCAAAGCTTCGTTGCCACAAATAGTCGTGAAGGCAATGTTTTTGTTAGTTGTTTTTTTAACGAATTTAAATCTTTTTCGATATCAGCAAGATCCAAAACAAAATATTCTCATTTTTATAAACACCTTAGACTTAAATAAGAATGATGCAATAAGAAATGTGTAATAACAAAATCATTTTCTTTAAAGCTTACTTTAAACGTTGTAGATAACTATGGAAGTAAACATTAGCATCTCTAATTAATATTCTACTAAGATCAGGCAGTGTACTAACAATATGGTAGATGGAAGGAAGGCTTCCTTTTGTATGAACTTCTAGCGCTGGTTTGATTAAGATGTATTTTGCGATCGTTAAACATTCAAATATAAAACTAATATACTTTAAAACGTGTATAAATTAACTGGCGTGAATAGATCTTTAACAATCTAAAAAAGGAGAGAGATAGAGACTAAATTCGTGGATCTTTAACCATCTAAAAACTATACTTTTTCTTTTATTTCTTACTTTTGTTTTCGCTTTAATCATACTGATTTCATCGAATTTTGGAAGGGAACATTGGACGTTAAAGTTAAATACAAATTAACTGCCTTGATGAGATCTTTAACCATCTAAAAAACGGAGAGAGATAGAGACTAAATTCGTGGATCTTTAACCATCTAAAAAAGGAGAGAGATAGAGACTAAATTCGTGGATCTTTAACCATCTAAAAAAGGGAGAAAGATAGAGATTAAATTCGTGGATCTTTAACCATCTAAAAAGGAGAGAGATAGATACTAAATTCGTGGATCTTTAACCATCTTAAAAAGGGAGAGAGATAGAGACTAAATTCGTGGATCTTTAACCATCTAAAAAAGGAGAGAGATAGATACTAAATTCGTGGATCTTTAACCATCTAAAAAAGGGAGAGAGAGATAGAGACTAAATTCGTGGATCTTTAACCATCTAAAAAAGGGAGAGAGATAGAGACTAAATTCGTGGATCTTTAACCATCTAAAAAAGGAGAGAGATGGAGACTAAATTCGTGTAACATTTTGTGTTTTCATTATTGCTGATCATCAGTTGATCTTAAAGTTAAATACAAATTAGATTGTTTGAGAAGCATAAAAATCATCTATGTTACTTAGGTAACGACATTACTTTGTTTGTAAGCTATTACGTATAACTGAAACAATGTGTGTATTGGATTAGGTATCAAACAGATCATTTAGATCTGAGGTAAATGATGACAAAAGCTGAACTTCTTCTTTCCTATGACGAATTTAATCTAAACATATTAACCCTAAAACTATTTGAAAATTAAAAGAAATATTTTTAGGGTGAACCGAAGAAAAGATAACGAAAATGTTATATCCTTAACCCTGACGAATTTTAAAATATATATACACTCCTCAGTAATTTATAGAAGCTACGAGTTTGTTTTTTGTTTTTCTGTTATCGATGTACAGGTACATTCAATGTTTATGAATCTCATCAGCTATAAAGATTTCATAATATTTTTATAACATTTTATCGTTTGCCCTGAAAGAAGGAAAGTCCGTGTTCCAAAAGCGCTCAGGTTTAGGGTTTTCTCTTTTTCATTATCTATATATGTGTCTCTGTACATATATATATTACGATCACGCTCGCTTTTATTAATGTTATAACAAATATAATTTATAGATATTTGTTACTTGAGATGACAAAGGGTATTAACTAATTTATGGACGTTTGGAAACAATCAAAAACACTAATAATGGCAACACAAGAATGCCATAGGAAAATATGCAAATATAAGTAATGTAACTTGCATAGTACTAAAGAATAATGGAATGTACCGAACACCAGAGAAGTATGGAACTTACAGACTACAAGAGAAGTAATGAACTTACAGAACACCAGAGAAGTATGGAACTTAAAAAACACCAGAGGAGTATGGAACTTACAGAACACCAGCGGAGTATGGAACTTACAGAGCACCAGAGAAGTATGGAACTTACAAAACACCAGAGGAGTATGGAACTTACAGAACACCAGAGAAGTATGGAACTTATAGAACACCAGAAGAGTATGGAACTTACAGAACACCAGAGGAGTATGGAACGTACAGAACACCAGAGGAGTATGGAACTTACAGAACACCAGAGGAGTATGGAACGTACAGAACACCAGAGGAGTATGGAAGCTGGTGTTCTGTAAGTTCCATACTCCTCTGGTGCTCTGTAAGTTCCATACTCTTCTGATGTTTTGTACGTTCCATACTCTTCTGGTGTTCTGTAAAGGTGTTTTGTAAGTTCCATACTCCTTGTATTCTGTAAGTTCCATACTCCTCTGAGAAGTATGGAACTTACAGAGCACAAGAGGAGTATGGAGCTTACAGAAAACAAGAGGAGTATGGAACTTACAAAGTACCAGTGAAGTATGGAACTTACTATGAAACTTGGTAATCTTAATAATCAATGAGGAGGCTCACTGTTAACAAATATAGTTACGTCTGTGCAAACACTATTACTATTATTTTTTATCATTCGTGCACCCTCTCAGAAGAAAAGTAAAACAAAAGATCGAACAACTGTACAATTTGTACCTGCTGGCATGAATTAATTATTTTCTTCGTGAACCTAATCAGTAATTCACAGTAAGCAATATACACCTAACAGCATGGTTGTTTGTCACCCATACTGTGCAATATACACCTAACAGCATGGTTATTTGTCACCCATACTGTGAGGCTTGTCAAGTTCAAGCGACGATGTATCAAAATTTAAGAGGTAGGACATACAAACTGCGACTTTACCAATCAGAGTTTATAACCGAACCAGCTTTACAAGAAAAAAAAGTTGTTACTTTTCCTAGGAGATTGTTTAATAGTAATTGTCCAGCATAACTAGGATATGTAGTAGTTGTATCCTACTTTTCTAACAGTCGCTCAGGGTAAAATCTATGTTTTAGTTACGTTAGTGAAAATTTACGTTTATAAAGAAATTACAGTGTTTACAAAAAAAATCATATTTATGTTCTCGTTCCAGAAATAACATACCATCTGTAAAGGTAATAACTTTCATTTTTTATTAAAGTTCCTTATGTAATAGACTTCTGGAATGTAAAGTTTATTATGAACCACCACCCTGTACATAATAGAGTATTACATTCGATAGAAGGTTTCGTTTGCTTGTTTTAGAGCAAAGCCACATTGTGCTATCTACTGTGTTCACCACGGGGAATCGAAACCCGGATTTTAGCGTTGTAACTCCACAGACTTACCGCTGTCCCACCGGAGGACTCGATAAGAGAATCATTCTGCGAAGCTTGAAACTGATGAATCTGATAACTCCAACAAGAAAGGTTCACATGATTTCCTTGGTATATAACAAAATGTTGCCAATGCAGCACGTTAGGTTTTGACGTAAATGTAGCAGATAACAACGATTTTACGTTATTTTTTTTACATTGAATGATACTTTACCGTATAATTACTTCGAAGTTATTTTATGGTGCATGTACTTTTTAGTTAGTTTTCTTTCTTTTTTTTACTAAGGAGGATCCATATTCTTAACAGTTGATGAAGCGACAGTACTATGAGTCCTTTTACGTACAAAGGAGCTAATATGTTTATAAAATATTTTTGGTTTGTTTTGAAGTTAAGCACAAAGCTACACTATGGGATATCTGTGCTCTGTCCACCACGGGTATCGAAATCCGATTTCTAGCGTTGTAAGTCCGCAGACATACTGCTGCGTCACTGGGGGGCAACATTTTGGGAATTTCGCACTTCTCTTTTATTGAAACTATAATTTGTTAAGTTTTCTTACTCTTGAAAATACTAATCAAAGATGAAGCTCAATTGAAAATAACATTAGAAACAACCTTAAGCTTTAAAATGATTTCAGTTTCTCATACCGAAGAATTCATTTGCACAATTGTTTATAAGAAAATAATATTATATTGTGCGTTACTAAGCGACACATGAATATAACGTACTATTGTCAACGTTGCTGAAGTCAACAGGTACTAGCACTTGTTGAGCAGTAATTGGAAATTTAGTTGTTTATTCAGTAACTTGACACAAGACGTTTGTTTGTTGTTAAGCGCAAAATTATACAATGAGCTACTTGTGCTCTGCCAACCACAGGTATTGAAACCTGATTTTTAGCATTAGAAGCTCTCACTCTTAACGCAGAGCCACCGTGAAGCCCGTAAAAAGTAGTTGTAGTCAGGTCTATCAAGGGGGCGGAGAGGCCTGAGACATTTCCTCAGAGCCCATAAAAGTGGCAATAAAATGTGTACGGAATGTATCAAATCCGTACAGAACGTTTAACCAAACATCAACCATGTCTTCTATCACTTATGTACATGCGCAGCATCATTCCAAAAACTATTCAGAGAGGGGGCGGCGGGAGGCACATTTTTTTCTCGAGAACCATGGTAACTCTCGACAAGCCTTGGGTAAAGTGAACGATATCAGTCTCTGCTCTTTCCATTATCCAAGCATAACGTGTCGGATAATGTAAAAAAAAAAGCTCTTCTACATTTTTGACTAGAAACTCTTAATGGACCTGCTAAGAACACTGACATCATGCATCGACGGTCTATGAGGTTCAACCAAGCATTTGTTTCGTTATTTTATTCTCCATGTGAAAGGTGTTGTCATTCATATCATTAAAGAAAACTATACTTTGTCTTTTATTTATTTCTTTTGTTTTCGCTTTAATCATACTGATTTCATCGAATTTTGGAAGGGAACATTGGACGTTTTTAAAGAATCTGAGTAAAATTGTACACTATGTTTCGTGTCAAATCTCGAATAACTTTACACATTACACTCCGTGAAATACTCTTTGTAAAAACTGAACGTTAACGATTTGAATAAAACTACACTCGCACACATACATTATACTTATAAAATATTCCTGAGTCAAATTCCACACTTGTCTTTCTGCCCTTTGTGAAGACTCTTGGGTGAAACTGCACACTGCATATTCTGTGACAGAATTACAACAAAACTTTAGATACACTTCATGAAAAATTGTACTTAACACTACACTTTATCATATGAAAGCAATTTGTGGGAAACACCGAGTAATATTACATGCTATATTGTATGAAAGATCGTTAGTAAAGATACACCCTTTTGTTTTACAGGACTCCGAGTAAAATCTTCTCTTTATGTTATTACTCTTATCACGTTGACTAGTTTCGAGCTGTATGTTGTTTTAAGGATGAGTTTGCCAGAGTATATAGTAATAATGCTTGGAGACGACTTGAATGGGTAATGAAGACTATATAGTAATAAAGTTGAATATTTAATTGATTAAATCTGCCATAAAGTCCCACTAAAATGCAGTCTACCGAATATTCAACAGTCTTAGCCCATAGTTGCACGGCGGTATATCTGCGGACCACAAAAAACCGGTTTCGATACCCGTGATGGGCAGAGCATAGATAGCTCTTTGTGTGGCCTTGTGCTTAATAACAAAACAGTATTATATTCTCTTTCACTAAATACTATAAACTGATCAAATAATTATACACGTTTACAAGCAGAAATGTAACTTTACAAAACTGATAATCAATGTGCAAAGTAACTACGCTGTAAAGAAGTAAATGGGATCAATGTGAATGCTCAATAGTTCAAAGAATCAAGCAGCTGGTAACAAGATCTTCCAAAGTAAAATGCATAAAAACATTTATCTGATTACTTTGAACAAGAAGGTTCTCCAATTGATATTTTATATATTTAAAAGTTTCTTCTTCTGTTTAGTATACAGGCCTCATTTTCTACATGTTTCCAGCTACTTTTTTACTCTTCGAATAGCAATTTCAAGATTTCATCATATGTTTCAGTCTTGGAGATCTGCACAAGTATTGGGTTTCACTCAGAAACAATTTAGTGAAAACAGCAGATTAAGTTTCCATGTTTTTAAAAATAAACTAATGTTTAAGCATAAATTTTGTATTTCTGTCCTCGTGCTTGGGTTGATTTTTTCCCCTCTATTCTATTTTTCTCCGAACAACGGTTAATAGAACCTGATGGCCACGAAGAAAAGTAATCAATGTTTCCCTGGTGGCAAATCTCCGAGTTAACAAAACAAGGAACAATGAGTGAAAATTGAGTTCATGTAGTTCTCTCAGTTGTTGTCAGTGCCTCCTGGAACTCAGTAAATACGACAAACACGGAGAAAATTCTGCTGTAACTATGATAATATGCTGTTCAGAGGAAGAAATTATATAGTTTTAGCCTGCTGTGTGAGCTACTTTTCTCAGTTGTCCTTTACTTATGAGCGCACAGGAAAATAAAACAATGCAACTGTTTGGTATAAATGTAATCCTCAGTTGACCAAACACATTTGAAAGTTCTACGTGCCAAAAAAAGTAAACAAAAAATATTCATATTTGGAAAGGCCTTTCTCACATGTTATTGTAAAAACTTAATATTATCTTACTCCCGCTCCCTCTTTAGAAGGTATCACACCATTTTATCACCACATATATTCGATATATGTTAGTATCAGCTATAAGTGTACGGATTTACAATGCTAAGATTTGGAGTTCGATTCTCCGCAGTGGACACAGCAGCTAGCCCAATATGGATTTGCTGTAAAATAATCAAAACCAAACTCTATTAATGAACCACTTGTTCTTTCTATGCTAATTCATATGTGTGAAAGATACTTGTGCTCTATACACTGATGTAAGTATCTTCAGCATCATAGTACCTTTGTACTAATTTATAAAGGGTTAGGGGTTTATTTCTCTATTTTGCATCCACGTCGTACTAGAGTATTTCTTCCCCCCCCCCCTCCAATGCATCATTGCAAATCGCTATTTATTGCAAAACAGCTATTTATGCCATAACAATATCTTATCATCTGTAGAAGTAGAGAATTCAGAATGGGCAAATTTGTATGTATGGATATATATTTAAATACTATATTGAAAACAGCTATTTATGCCATAACAATATCTTATCATCTGTAGAAGTAGAGAATTCAGAATGGGCAAATATGTATGTATGTATATATATTTAAATACTATATTGAAAACAGCTATTTATGCCATAAGAATATGCTATCATCTATAGAAGTAGAGATTTTATTTTGTTTTCTAAAGTTTTAGAAAATAATGGTTCTTCTTATTCTATTCCGACGTGAGCGGTTGATGGACTTGTTTTGCTTTAAACCACGATTCCAGTTCTTATCTAGTATGGAACAAAGATAAAAGTTTTCTACCCGGCAGCACTTGAATCTAGCGTTTGAAGAAAAGCTCGCTAATTCCATTTGCTTGCACAGATAGCCTGCAACAACAGCAGATACGAATGGTAGAAGTCAGACCAAAGAAAAAAGTTCTAACATAACCTCACATAAATATTTATATAATCGTGTAGTGATGGTTTGACAATAGTCTTGGTGATGTCATCAATAGATAGATAGATGGATAAATAAGAATTATTTAGTGAAAATGAGAAATGACTGAAAAAATAAATAACTCTCTCATACATCACGTTGTTGTTGTTGTTTTTTACATTTCTTTCAAAATTAAAAATTATCCAGTGGAAAATTTTACTTTACAGAAAAAAACTTACCATTATTAGTAAAACAATAAGCCATGTTATTATTGTATAGCAGAAATAACGATAGGTTGAATGATAAAACAGATGAGAATATATGCATATATATCTAAGCAAATACATTTACTTGCATTTACTTTATTTATATCTACTGACAGAGTGAAAGAATGATATGGAGATGGAAAGTAGATGTATGTTCGTCTGTAGCATCAAATTACCATTTCTGTTTATTATTACTCTCTAACCTCGAACAAGTAAATATATATATAATCACTAAAACATCTGATCACAGAACAGAAGTCTACAATTTATCACACACAAAGTAAAATGAAAAGAGGTTGGTTCAATAAATATATCCAATAACTGGTTATGATTACAGATTATCAGAAACCTCCCATGCTGTGATCCCCATAAATATTAACGAACTAATGCAATAACTGGTTATAATTACAGATTATCAGAAACCTCCCATGCTGTGATCCCCATAAAAATTAACGAACTAATGCAATAACTGGTTATAATTACAGATTATCAGAAACCTCCCATGCTGTGATCCCCATAAAAATTAACGAACTAATGCAATAACTGGTTATAATTACAGATTATCAGAAATCTCTCTTGCTGTGATCCCCATAAAAAATAAGCAAAATACTGCAATAACTGGTTTTAATTAAATATAATAACTTAGAATAATGATGAATTTTTGTCCTTTTCGTCTGATTTAGACATGAATTTTTGAAGAAATCAAAACCATTGTGTAAACTAAATGTTTGTATAAAAACATTAGCGATTTCCTTCTAGTGACTAAAGAATATCAAATAACACTTGAAGTTCAGCTTACTAAAGTTTTCAATAAACAATTATTTCTCGTTCAATTCTTTTAAGTAATGTTATACGAAAATTAACAAACGAGACCGACATTTATATCACAATTCAGTTGAATCTGGACATTTAGAATTTATCCTGACTAATTTATTTTTATTTTTCAAAATTCAGAAAGAATCATCTCATCTAGTGCTCCGAAGATGTCTTCAACTCAACGTTTCATGTTTTTTGTTCTGGTAGTGGCAGTAGTAATTGAAACTGGCCTAGTGGAGTCAAGATTTCAGAAGCAAGTAAGTGTTTACTGTCATTTTATTGTTTTTGTTAAGGTTCTGGTAGCTTTTAGACTTATCAGACCACGTTACAAGAATCGGCAAATATGGACCTTAACAGCGTAGGTATCTATGATGTGCCCTCCGTAGGTATCGAAACCTGTTTTTTAGCGCTATAAATCCTCTGACTTACCGCTGAACCACCGGGATGCATCACCGTTACAACAAGAAAATCTAATTTTCTTTGAGGTTATATACAAAATTGTACCTCGAAGTATTTTTTTTTTAAGTTAAGAATATTTTTGCTTTGCAGAATACACTAATCCAACATACCGCCCATGGAGTTGTTGTTTACCTTCCAGCACAACGCGAGGTTTACGAAACCGTAGTGGGTTCAGCATTTGTTGTTTAGTTTGGGTGTAAGGTATGAGCAAAACATGAAAAACTTAACAGTATTATATAGTGTTCTTTTCAAGTAAACGAACCGTACGCTGTTGGAAAAATAAATCTTAGGCTTAATCCGGAATCTTTATCTCGCTTTTTTACGATTTTTTAATAGGAAATGTATCACCTGTAAAATTCTTCGTGTATCTTTGTTATTCCTTGTCTTTGATTTTTTTGAAGTTAGAATTTTGTTTAAAAACATATGAAAATGATATACTTTTGCTGAGAAAAACAGACGCCTTAAAATTAATAAAATCTTATCCCGATACTTTAAACAAACACTTTTAATCATAAATATGAACAGCTGGCAACATTTTACTGTTTTTCTTTAATTTATACATCTTATTTTTAGTTTATACCTTGCTCGCTTGAGACTGGGTTCGGTTAACAATTTCTTCTTATACAAATATATATATAGTTCATAGATATTAAATACCAATCCAACAACTTATATTTGTCATCATGCAGTATCGTTCTAAGTCAGTGTTTTCTTAAGTTAGCCTTGAGGGCACATTTGCCCATCTCATATGAGCTGGTTATGACATTTCAAAACTTTATATTTACACAAAATCGTCATATATCTGGCTGAGGGAGCTAACAGCTAGCTGTCAAAGGCATGAACATATATTCCAGGAAACTGTCCTACTGCCACTAGGATTCACAGATATGTTGATTGTTTGGGTTTAAAAGGAGCAGTTTATGTCATTGCATGTTGTGTACAGGACTTTATATCGGATCAACAATTCGAAGTGTGCCATCACTTGTGGATGAACACGCTATATTTAATAAAGCTAACATCGCTGCAATTGTAAATCATCATTTGAGAGTGTGTGGAAAACAAATCACAAAAGGCTGTTTCAAAATGAGTACAACCTTTGATGAGCATCAACTGGGCATCGGGGAAACCGTTTTAACTTTTTACGTGTTATAACGTAAAATTTCAGTGCTGGACGGTTTTTATTAAACAATTAAAATGGTGTAATTCGTTACACACTTAGTGGCTCTGTGTGTATGTGTGGGTGCTGCTTTAGCGAAAAGTTACACAATGGGTTATCTGCACTTTGTCGACCATGTGGGGATAGAACTCCAGGTTTTAGTGTTATAATTATGTAAACTTACTTAACATTTTCATCATATATTTAGGTGTCTGTGTCTCTTATAAGTTGATTCTTTTCAGAGACCGGTCTTAGTGAGACTAGTGGTTAACATTCTGGAATACCGATTTGAAAATCCAAGGTTCGATGCGCGATTTGCCGTTGAACACTCTCTGCATTTTACACTGTAGGGACGTCATAACTGTGATTTTAAATGCTGTTATTCTGTTAAGAATAGCCTCAAAGGCGGCGGTTGCTGCTTAAAAGTTGTCATTCCTCTGGCCAGCAGTTACAAATTAGGAACGGCTATGGATCTTAAGGGTCTCTGGTCTAGCCATTTGGCTAATGGATCACACAGGGTGGGATTCACGTCAAAAATAACAACCTTACTTGTAGAAAATATTAGATACGTTTACTGGTTTCGGGCGCAAATTGGCTCTGTGGTAGAGCTCTGCAATTCAGAGCTCATAAAACGGGTTCAAATCTATACGATTTAACAAAAATATTCCCTGCACTTTAAACTGTAGACGTGTTATAGGTGTGAAAGTCAACCCCTTAGCGTGGATGGTAGGGTGCTGCTGACTGGCTGCCTTCCTCTGGTCAGTAATTCAAAATTAGAGACAGCGGTAGATAGTCTTAGTAACATTGACATAAATACAAAATACACGTGCATATACATTTGTTGATTTAATGTAGAAATGGTTTCGATGAGCTTTCAGCAATTATTTCAAAGTACCACAACTTTTATCATCCCACAACAAATGTTTTAAAGTCTTACCTAGTTGCTTACAGAAAACATGAAATCCCAATGTTTGTTTTATTCATTTGTTGTTTAGCATAAAACTACACACTGGGCTATCTGTGTTGTGCCCACCACGAGTATTGAAACCAAGATTTTACCGCTGAGCACAAATGTTGGTCATAACTCTTATATCAACAACACGAGTGAGCCATTCTTAGGAGTCTAACAGTTTGTTGTTGAGCACAAAGCTACAAAATGTGCTCATCGCGAGCATTGAAGCCCAATTTTTATAAAATCTCAGGCTTGCCGCTGGACCAATAGGGGCAGGACGTAAAAAAATTGTATTTTAAAATGGTACTGCAAAAGTATTAGACCAATATTACCCGCTTGGCTAATGGGAGGAGGAGGGAGGGCATGACAAAAATTTCGTTTTAAAATGGTACTGAAAAAATATTAGACCAATATTACCCACTTGGCTAATGGAGGGGGGGGGGTTAGGGCATAACAGAAATTTCGATGCAAGTTGGTACTGAAAAAATATCAGACCAATATTACCCGTTTGGCTAATGGGGGGAGGAGGGAGGACATAACAGAAATTTCTTTTTAAAATGGTACTGAAAAAATATTAGACCAAAATTCCTATCTTCTTGTGTTCCCGTAAGATGTTATTACGGTGAAAAGTTAAAGCACACTGACATGCTTGTAAATTGTGTTCCGATAATTATATGGGAAACGTTGAAACATAGCGTATGAGTGTTTAAATTTATTCTTATAGGTATAAAACTTGTACAAGTATTTTCGATTGGATGTTTTTGCACTTAGAAACCTATTATCGCATATGTTGTATTTAATAAAAATATAATAATAGTTTATAGTTTAATGATTTTTGGTGTTTATATAAACAGCCGTTAGATACGTCTCCCTCAGGCGACACTATGCCGAAAATAGTCCGACAATGCACAAATAATTTAACACATAACCTCTTATATCACAGTAATTGGCTAATTGTATTTCTTTACCAGCCGCACTGTACTGGCAGGTTTAGGGTGCTATATCATATAACTTATTATTGTAACCGACATTCTAAGCATCAAGGAGGCCGTGACAAGCTGTAAATCCCATTTCTTATTCAGCGCTTCAGAAAGTAATTGGGTCCTATGTCACACACTGTAGCAATGTTGGATGGCTTCACTAATGACTTCACGAATCATTCTGTGAACAAATTAGATTTAGGTTAGCAATACACGCTATATAAACTGATGTTTTGTAGTAAAGTGTTTAATATTGTACAACGAACGTACTTTACAGCTCACTAAAAAGTTGTTTTTTTTCAACAAAATCTAACTCCAAAGGAATTCTTGTCACCGCTATCTCAGAGAAGCCAAATTTAATTAACTTAAGTAGCTACACAAGTTGTATGATATACTACGCGTTTCAATAATACATAAGTTCACAGAAAAAAAATCTGTATTCAAAAATTAGAGAATTTAAAATTGAAGCAGATTTTTTTTTTTTAGATTTTGATGTGCTCTTACTTAACAGAAGGAGTTCCCACACTCACGCTTTGGATATTTCACCAAAGCAACATGTAACTCAATGCTATATGCACTCTTGAACTTTAGGGACATTTTTTTTATCGTGCTACAAGAAATATAAGAAATAAATAACAATTCCATCATATTTAGGAAGAGTCCTTCCTCAACAACAACACATGCTGCAAAACCCTACATCAGCACAAATTAAATATTGATGTGTGTGTGTGTATTATAAAAGGAAATTCTATTTATTCATGTGTTGTAACAAACGTTACAAATACAGTCCATTTTCAGCTACTAAAAGAATAATGAATTGTCGTATATTTATTTGGTAATTAGAGTGTAAATCCATAGCACCAAAAATACAGAACATATAAATCGCTTGAAAACCATAGCACCAAAAATACAGAACATAAAGCTCACTATTTCTATCTCTAATGTTTGTTGTTGTTTTAGTGCAAGGCTACATAATAGACTATCTCCACTCTGTTCACCACAGGGAATTGAATCCTGAGCTTTAATGTTATAAATTCGTAAAAGTACCGTTAACTCAATGGGGAACTGTTCTTAAAGACTTAGTACTCTTTTTATAAATATTTCTAACTCAAACTATAAGGTAAAGTATGAAACCTAAAATATTCATAAACACCTTTAAGAACTTTGTATTTTACTGCTCATAACGTTCCGATATTTTTAATTCGGCGTGCTTTTTTCTAGCATAGCTAAAAGGTTGAAATATCCTACGTTTCATAATGCAAAACTCCCGAAACTTAATTTCCTGGGATGTAATAATATCTCATATGATGTCTAAATCCACTCCATCGTTTCCTATTTAAACCAATTTGTTCGGTTTCCACTGACTTGATACTTTTATTGTGTTAGTATACATAATGGCATAGTTATGTATGAAACTCGATGAAATCAAAAACTTTAGTAGTGAGATGACATACTGCAAATATGAAGTTACTTAACTATAACATTGAGCAATGTAATAAGGCTCTTTGTTGGAAACAAATGATTGAACGAGGACTCTGTATAAGTCTTTTAAAGACAGTAATTCTTTAGTTCCAGTAAAGAAGTGAGAATCGCAAGTATACACTCTGTATTTGCTATTTGTTGGACTACTGTTTTTAACAATTTTAATAAAATCTAAGCCAGTAAATAATATAAATTAAATACTGTTTGCTTCGCTCTATCCGATAAATAGACGAGCTTTGTTAATAATTTATTATTTTAGGGAACTTAAAGAAATAATAAACCAATAATGTTTAAAATATTTCATTAGACAAAGACATAATTTAACGTCAATTCTGCTACCTGTTACTTAACAGCTCTACGACCTGCGTGCTACTGTTTTTCAAAAACCGTGTAATAATCCATATTTGGAAGAAAAAAAATGTTCATCAGTATTATTTTTTCAAATCAGTTGTAAGTATAACAAATAAATACAGCTTATAAAAAAATCCTTATTTATGGCCATGAATTTATAAAAACATATTGATATCTCGTTACACTATGGGTAGTTTGAATTTATAAAGTTTTTTGTATGTATTCTTCTGACCGAAAAGCTTGCCATTTTACTGAAGTAAACAATATTCTTAACGATTGTTGAGCTTTTAAATACGTTTCTGGTATTGCAGACAGCAACTAACTATACAGTATATTTGGTGTTGCGCGTCGGTGTACGAACATTACAAATGACATAAAGGTTAATTACGAAGCGTGCTTGGTTTAGTTAATTAACTGAACTAATGAGCAGCATACGCTTCGTTTTCTTATGGGATTCTAATCTATATTATTTAATCTTGATAGTCCATGATGATAATCATAATTACAAATGAATTAAAATATTAAATAAGGTGGTACAACGCAAAATGTGTTTAAATATATACAGGGAGGTAAGTTAACTCATCGTAATGTTTGATGCTAACGAATCTCTGTCGATCGTAATTATGGTTAATTACTGCAATTAGAACCAAAATTAAAACTGACATCAAGAGAGCCAATGAATACAATTTAAGCCATATAAGTTTAGTATTAGTAAGAGTGATAAAAGAAGTATTATTAACACGAGTTAAATACAACTTTTTTTACATTTACTAAATGTAAGGTTCTTGTTACAGTCAGGTTTGTAATAAATTTCCAGTAATGTTTCAATTGAGTTTAAAGGACCTCAAACCAATTCTCAAATCAAGATATTAAAGAAACTGAACTTCACACTTCAACCAGTTTCAAATTCACTTATAGTTACGTTTTTAATTATAACCTGGTGGTTAAGGGCGCTCTACTCGCAATCTGCCTTTCCTCCAGCCTATCACTGTTAAATTAGGGACGACTAACTCAGATATCCCTCGTGTAGCTTTGCACGAAATTTAAAACAAACCAAACATTTTAAATTGATTTTAAAGATGCATTTAAATTAACCTAAATCATATTTTGAGATTATTTGAAGTTGCTTTCAAAGTTATCTAAGATTTTCACAGCTTTCCGCTGACACGACTATTCTTCTGTTTATAGAACGCTGTGCAACAGCCTGGTCTTGTGAACCAAAAGAGACCCTTCTGCAACGCGTTTACCGGTTGTGGTATGAAAAGGTCACCAACTGCAATGGACACTGAAGAGTTCTTATCACGTTTAAGCAAGCAGATAATGGCTGAAGTAGAACTGTGGAACCTATTTCGGCAACGAGCAGGCAAAAGTGCAAATATAGTCACAGATAAGAACCAGGTAAGATGTGTTGTTATGTATATCAGGCCATAGAGTCTTTCTACTCTCTATAATACGATACATTATCGTTGCTTTACACAATGCTTGATTTATTCATTAAAAACGTATCGTGATCTTTTGTGGCTGTCATGTCGTTGAACCCCCAGAATATGTATTTGAAGTTTTAAACTTCAAATTAATTAGATGTGCTGGTACATTTATTATAAAGCAATCTCATAAAAAAAGAAATATTCCAAACCTCTCTTTCGAAGGCTAAGTATAAAAAACTATAAGTGAATAAATAAGCTGATGGAAAATTAAATAATACTTTCATATATTTTGACACCGGTAAAAATTGCTGAAATAATAACTTTATTTTCAATAAAAAAAATTTTTATTTTCTATCCCAAATAAAACTTAAGTTCATGCTCAAATTAGCTCAAGTTAATACACCTAACATCTAGTTAATCTTTACAATATTCATAAAATATAAGCAATATCACAATGGCAAATGTGAAATGTAAATATATAAACTGATAAGTTTATATAATATGTGCTATCCACATTTAATTATCGATTTACTTAAGATCTAACTAAAAATTGGAAACCAACTTTTTCTTACTTTTTTATGGAATCGGCTGGCGTATTTTAATTTCTATATTCGTTAAAAAAGTTTTGGCATATTGTATTTTTTATTCTTGTCGTACTATCTCTGTATAAGATGTTACTGTATCTAAATTTTGGCCTCAAGGTTTGAACGATCAACATCCGTACAAGTTTCGCATGTTGAGTCCAGTATGTTTACATTGAATCATGTTCCGAACAGTTTCTGATCCTGCAGCATAAGATGAATTATTGTGAAACTAGCTTCTGGTCCTAATGCTACGTTATTTTGTTTAGTTTCTGATCCTAGATCCGCTGTCTGTGGATTAAATCTCATTTCATCTAGCTTCTGATCCTACCGCTGAAGTCTACACGTTGAACATATTACAAGAAGTTTCAGATTTGCTTTATTTCCAAAGATTGTGGCAACATCCATCATTTTTAAACTACCAAAGACTGTGGCAACATCCATCATTTTTAAACTACCAAAGACTGAGGCAGGATCCATCATTTTTAAACTACCAAAGACTGAGGCAGGATCCATCATTTTTAAACTACCAAAGACTGAGGCAGAATCCATCATTTTTAAACTACCAAAGACTGAGGCAGGATCCATCATTTTTAAATTACCAAAGACTGAGGCAGGATCCATCCTTTTTAAACTACCAAAGACTGTGGAAACATCCATCATTTTTAAACTACCAAAGACTGAGGCAGGATCCATCATTTTTAAACTACCAAAGACTGAGGCAATCCATCATTTTTAAACTACCAAAGACTGAGGCAGGATCCATCATTTTTAAACTACCAAAGACTGATAATTAACGTATATTTCTAGCGAATTTTGTTGAGTTACAGCTGTCATAAGTTGTAAACGTGATCAACGTCTCGGGTTCCTTTCTCTTTGGGCCGAGAGTGGCCCATTGGTTAATCTGCCGGACCGACGATCCGTGGCTCCGTGGCTTCGCCCATTACCGCCAAAAAATAATCGCGGTCCCACCTTAGGGCCAAGGATGTATTATAAAAGTGATGATAAAATCCCACGAGTTGGCGGTGAGTTGTGGTAAATATATATCTTCCCTCTGGTCTATCACTGCTAAATTGGGGATGAATAGCGCAGATAACCCTCGAGTAGCCTTGCGCGAAATTCCAAAAACAACAGCAAAAATCTTTCACTTTGATTCAGCTGTTGAATGCTATAATTTGAAGTAACATTTCGAGAATCTTAAGGTTTAATTGAAGAGAATAATATGTTGCTTCAAATAATATTGAAGTATTGGTTGTTGAAGATCCTGATATCGTGTTTCTAAAACAGTGGTTTCCAAACTTTTCCATTGACGACACCCTAACCCACTTATCTTGACACCCTTTCTGCCCCATGCAATATTTTTTGTAGAGTGTTTTTTTATGTTATTAATTATTCTTCGTTTGGTGAAACTCTTGCGAAACTCCTAGCACCTTTCCGCAACACACAGTTTGGAAACTACTGTTATAAAATGTGCGTTTTCGCTGTTTTGTTCTCTGTTGCCGTTTCGTAGTTACAAGAGTCAAATTATTTTATTTTATTTCAATGCTGTCCTATAGATGGAGCGCATGAAAATCAGTCCCTTCTTGGACTTGCTAGCTGCAGAGATGAGTCAGCGAAGACCTATTTCAGATGGAATACAAACCTTAAACGTAAGTCAATATTTTTTTAATTTTTAATACACGATATTTATTTATAGGTGACTCTTCATTTAATTAATAAGAGATATCTAGACTGTACCTTTTGTCCTTTATGGAGTTTCTTACATATAAGGAATATATATGGAACGTGACTCTAGTCCTCTGAGAAATATTAACTACTTTCAGGATTATTTTCTCAACATCATTATATTTGTGAATACATTCCCTATGAACATAAGAGTTACAAGTACCAACACACTATTCTATTTCAATAATGCGAGATGCATAGCACAAGAACAAATAAAAATGGAACGGATGGAAAAGCCAGAGTAAATTTTGGACGTCTTACTAAACTATTTAAAAACAAAACGACTGAAACAAATCATATAATAGATGGTAACCTTTCATTTGAGAAGTAAACATAATAGTAAAATATGCCAAGCTATGTTAAATTATTGAAAATACATATTTCCTCCATCTAGCACCGGAAGTGATATCCGAATTAATAAACCGTCCTATGATGCATTTTCGGTTTCCTTCTAGCATCGGAAGTGATATCCGAATTAATAAACCGTCCTATGATGCATTTTCGGTTTCCTTCTAGCATTGGAAGTGATATCCGAATTAATAAACCGTCCTATGATGCATTTTCGGTTTCCTACAGGTGATTACGTCACGCATGTTGTTTGTTTGGAACTTCTCGCCAAGCTACATGAGAGTTATCTGCGCTAACCGTCCTTAATTTAACAGTGATAAGCTAGAGGGAAGGCAACTAGCTAGTCAACACCACTCACCGCCAACTTCTAGGCTACTCTTTTTTTTTACCAACGAATAGTGGGATTAACCGTCACATTATAACGCCCCGACGGCTGAAAGAGGCGTTATAGATTATGAGTCAAGCGCCTTAGCCACCAGGCCATGCACGTAGAAAATACCTAGAACAACTAAATATATTATTGATTTTTAAGTGGGATATTCATAGTTTAGAGAAACAATAGTTGAAGGATTGCCCGAAGCGTTTCAAACCCATATACTACAGAAGGTACTTGGATAATACATTTTGTTATTTTTGAACGAGCTGGAACATATAAGGGGGTTCAGTAAATGTCTGAACAGTCGAATATAATAGCATGAAGTTCACTATAGAACATCCAGAGAATCACCAGCTTGCTATCTTGGATGTTTTAATCCACAACAAGAAGGAAATATTGGACTGTAAAGATTTTCATTAACAATAACTTTACAGAACTAAGCTTCAACTGTTTTGGCTTTATTCCGAATAAGTATAAAGAAAATATTGATCCGTTGAGCATATATTGATCCATTGAGCTTATATAATCACAAACACTTATGAATATTTTCATAAAGTGATGGAGATTATAAAATGCTTTTTTTGAAAAAGAGTAATTTTTCATAAACGACAAATCATACATGTGCCAAACTATCGATGTCGATAATATTGTCATTCAGTAAAAAACGTGCAGTTTTAGCAAGAAAACAGTTATGTAACCTTTTCGTAAAGTCCACTTTCAAATAGACATTAAAGGTATTTTCAAAACTGAATGCAGACTGTAAATTTGTTTGAATTTAAAAATAACGTTTCTGCACAAAAAAACATCTAACGTTGTTTATAAATTTACATGTCGTAATTGTGGTGCAGGGTGTATGGGAGCTATCACTAGATAGCTAGAAACTAGATTGCGAGAGCATACAAATACGCTGAATAACAACAAATCAAGTATAAAAGACCATATCATGCGTGAGTGCAATGTGGAAGTTAGATCCGATCGGTTCGAAATTATGACAAGAAATATGCGTATAAAAGAGACTTAATTAAATAAGCAGCTGAAACCCCAAATTAATGAAGTAGGATTGCCTATGAAATTGTTATTGAAATGGAGAGAGAGAGAAAAAGAGCGTTTGATTTGAAACCGTGTGTATTAGTTTATGGTGGATTTGTTTCAGATATTCGCGCATAGTTACACAAAAACAATCTATTTTAACATTCAATAATTTTGAACTCGTAGGTTAAAGGGAAGGCAGCTAGTCAACAGCACCCACCGCGAACTCTTTGGCTACTCTAATCGAATAGAGGGTTTGACTGTCACTTTTATAATGCACCAATGGCCCCAACGTGCGGAACATGATTTTTATTTTCTATGTATATGGTAACAAGACACGAATCCACATTTCAGCACATTAATCACTAGGCCACGCTCTGCCCTGACTAACTTGTTTCGCATTGACAATCGCAAGAGAAGAAAAAAAACAACAACTAATACTGTGTTATGTTGGCAACTACGCCCTAATTGATTCTAATCAGTACCACGACAAGAGTATACCTCACTGGATGAACCACCAGAGCGCCGTTTTTGTTAATGTTTTATACCATTTGTGTAAACACAACCGTCTCAAGTTCTTTAAAAGTTCTTTAATTTGCATAATTACAAATACGTGAAATTTACAAGAAAGTATTTATCGCGCACGTTTCTGAGTCATAGACACTTTATTTGTTGGTAACAGCGTTGGCGGTGGTGTTGACTAACTGCCTTCACTCTGGTCTGTCTCTATTAAATTAGGGGCGATTAGCCATAGCCCTAGAGTGGCTTTGCACGAAATTCCAAACAAACCAAATTATGTCACCTCGTGTTGTATGAGTGAGATGTGAGTAAGTTAAGGTGGTAAACAGTAATGGAGATATATTTAAGGTGGTAAACAGTAATGGAGATATTTTTAAGGTGGTAAACAGTAATGGAGATATTTTTAAGGTGCTAAACAGTAATGGAGATGTTTTTAAGGTGGTAAGCAGTAATGGAGATGTTTTTATGGTGGTAAGCAGTAATGGAGATGTTTTTAAGGTGGTAAACAGTAATGGAGATGTTTTTAAGGTGGTAAACAGTAATGGAGATGTTTTTAAGGTGGTAAACAGTAATAGAGATGTTTTTAAGGTGGTAAACAGTAATGGAGATGTTTTTAGGTGGTAGACAGTAATGGAGGTGTTTTTAAGGTGGTAAACAGTAATAGAGATGTTTTTAAGGTGGTAAACAGTAATAGAGATGTTTTTAAGGTGGTAAGCAGTAATGGAGATGTTTTTAAGGTGGTAAACAGTAATGGAGATTTTTTTAAGGTGGTAAGCAGTAATGGAGATGTTTTAAGGTGGTAAAGCAACAATGAAGATGTTTTTAAGGTGGTAAGCAGTAATGGAGATGTTTTTAAGGTGGTAAGCAGTAATGGAGATGTTTTTAAGGTGGTAAAGAGTAATATAGATGTCTTAAGGTGGTAAACAGTAATGGAGCTATTTTAAGGTGGTAAGCAGTAATGGAGATGTTTTTACGGTGGTAAGCAGTAATGGAGATGTTTTTAAGGTGGTAAAGAGTAATGGAAATGTTTTTAAGGTGGTAAACAGTAATGGAGATGTTTTTTTTGTGTTGTTTATTTCATCATTTCGATAATTCAGCGAATTGTTTTTATTTTCTTTAAAGATTAACTTCTGATCTTGGCTAGATGTGTGTGCTTGTAGATTCTTACCTAACTCTCTTATAATCCTAAGCTTATCGAAGCTTAGAAGATGTGTTTGGGATTATCACTGAAAACGCCGATAACATTGAGGTTACCCTAAATAAAAATTCATTGCAGTGTAACTGTGGCAGGTTTCAACTACTGTAACTGGTGTATATATTGTACGTTGCATTATGATCATTGTTAATAATTTGTCTTAATAGTTTATTTGACAGTAAGTAAATCCAAATAAAGATAATATAACTGCTTAATTAATCTTATTAAAATGTCGCAACCAATGTACGTTTTATTTTAAGATATTTTCGTTTCCATTCCAGCGTTATCTTCCATATGTAAAGAAATTATGAATTACTATAAGTGTTGTGTGACAGGGAAGGGAGGGGATTATTTAAAATGTTATGCTTTTTTTTTCTTGTTTTTGTGTCATGTGTATTCAACTACGTAACATATGATATCGAGAATATGAATGTTTTGTACGTTAATCGTACAAACTACACTAGCGTGAAAAACTCTTTTTTTTTTACATGAGCATAACAAATTAACTGCTTCAGCGTGCCTTACAAAACTCTTTTATTCTGGACCTCAGACTGCAAGACATGTTCGAGTGATTGTTTATTGAACGCGGGAACTTTATTGTTGAAGACGTTTCTCATTAACGGATTCCACAATTACACCCTCTTCCAACAGTGTGGCTTAGGAACACTATGATTGCTACAATTTTAGTTAGATTTTGTTAAATCACCAAGGAAATCTATGGTAGTTACAGTGCTATAAAACATCATTTGCTTTCATCATACGTCACTTTGTCTGACCAGCTCTGCATTACCAACGAAAATGAACAATGTAACGTGCTTAATTATCGGATAAATGAGTGATTGGTAATGCCATACAACTCCCTTATGTAACATGATGATCAGTTAATGGGTAAATAGGTTATTATCATTGTCACATAAAAGCCTTTTATATAGCATGTAATTTTTTGTTTGTAGTCAAACACATAGCCACACAATGGGCTGTTTGTGATGTGCCTACCACGGGTATCGAAACCCGGTTTTTAGAATTATAAGCCTTCAGATGTACTGCCAATGCCACTGGGGAAAACATGTAACACGTAAACTCTTTATTATTAAAAAGGCAGTTGATAATGTAATAAAACCAACAGCTAAGGAAGTAATAAAACTAAAACGTTTCGAGTATTTAAATGTAATAATGACAATTACCACAAATTTATCATACTGTACTCAACATAGTTTTCTTACTTCGGACACTATAGCTTTCACAATGTACGCATCTTTCACTAGATAAATACAAATATTTTCAAAGTTAAATTATCTGTCTCATTAATACAACATACTTTTCACAACACACAGTGTTGAGTACGTTATATTGCGAATAAGCAAGTCGTATGACAACCACAGTCAATGTAAAGCTGCAATGAAACGATATGTATCAGAAATACATTTTGACATTGAATGATGTTTTGTAGATACTGT